ATCGGTAGTTTATATTCAAAAATTCCTCCTTGATTAATGTGAAAAGTATATTTCCATGGTTGACTGCCCTGATTGCTAAAGATCGTTACATTTGTTTCGTTAAGAGCTAGAATTGAGACACCAATATAGTCGTTGGAATCTCTCCTATAATGTGGCGTAAATCCAACAATGAAGTGAGTGCCGTAGTTACTACCTGGAGAGAATAAAAACAAGTGTGACGAAAAAATGGAATAAAAACTTATTAAAGATATCGAAAATATTTGCCGAGTTTCTATACAACAATAGAAACATGCGTATGAAATTTGGAAAAGGAAAATAGTCAGTTTGAGTTATCAATAGAAACACAGAATTAACACGCGCGTGTTTACGTTTCATAGAAACGCGCGTGTGGCACTGTAGGCACTTTGTGGGCGCTATATAGACTATAGAAAATAATAGTACGTTGAACAGACGTATTTGTGTCGTTTTGAATAGTCTGAATGGGTTTTGCTTAAATAATTTGAAGTTATGATTTAGTTATTTCTTCGTTGAAGAATGCTTTGAACCAAAAAATGTTCGGGCTTCGCTGCATCAATTTTAATTGGTCATGTTATGGAGAGAGGCATAATGCCCTTGTTAAGAAGTACGTTACTGGAAGCATTCTCATATGTGCACCAGGTTTTTCAATCTATCTTCGCAAATGATTGAGGTAACAATATCTATGTATGATATTTATTTTCTTATACTTGTCTAGTTTACTTACTGTTTATCCGAGACCGGTAAAATGGTATTGGCGATATGGCATTCACTAAAAAGAAGACAATAATATATCAATAACTATTTATTTAAAGCTCTATCTTTATGCCAAACGAAGATTAGTTCAAAGAGCGGAAGTAAAAAGTACCTAAGCATTATATGTACGAAAAATTATTGAAAATGAAATATCAGGCTTGGAAAGTTAGGCCAGCTTAGAAAACTCTTTCTCCTCAAAAAAGAACCAATAATATTATAATAATACCTCCAGAAGTAGATATGAGAGCTCAGTTGCATAAGGGTACGGACATGCATTACGGCATAGGTGGGTCCAACTCTCGAGCTGTTAGATATTTCATCTTTAAGATGCACTTATTAGGATAAACACGAATGCGCATAGCACGCTTTTGAATTAATTCAGTCATTGGTGAAATTAATTCATTTCCTTAAAAATTTATAGTTTTCACAGTGAATGAACACCAAAATATTAGCATAGGGAGACAAATCATCAGGCTGGCTATTTTATATATGTATTTAGCCAGTAGCGTAGCCAAGCCTGACGATTTGTCCCGCGAAATTTCACAGATTCCAAATCCACATGTGAAATTTCACAGGCTCCTTCACATAAATCCACATGTGAAATTTCACAGGCTCCTTCACATAAATTCACATGTGAAATTTCACAGGTTCCAAATCCACATGTGAGTTTATTACTCCGGCGCCAGCGACGGAGTTGAAAATTCGCCTCGGTTTTTTTTTATAAGATCTAGAATATGTTTAATGCATGTAGATTCTGGTCCTATTTTAATAATATCGCTGCTATTTCGCCATTTAACATGACGTGGTCGTGTATGAGCGCGTTGACATCTCGTAGTCAGTTGCACAGGATTGAAGATTTAATATAATTATATAAGCGCAAATTCCAAAGGCAAAGTGTAAGACAAAGCGAATGTATCATGCGCTTTATTTACATTTTTGAACAATTGAACTTCTATACTTTTTAATGTACGATGTGCTTCTGAATTTCGAGATCGCAAGGCATCTAAATGAATATGAACTGTATTGTTTATGTTCAGAAGCTTTATATTGAAGACTGGCACGTGCGCCGGAGTTAACGCCTGAACAGGCGTCTAAACCTGCGTTAAATTCAACCCGGGGGGCGGGTACTGAATCATCGGGATGGCTAAGGTACTGATCGATGATATAAATGTCAAAAGGCTTTGTTACGCTTTATGTTGCATAAGAGAAATAAATGTGAAACTTACACTTTGATCTATTATCAAAATCTGATCCACCAGCGTAAGCGTAAGATGCATAGCTGTCCCACCCGAATACAAGGAGACCAAACTTCACAGAGGACGAAGCATGATACACTGTAACTGTACTTGGATCTGATAAACTTATTACAGTCCAAACATATTTTGTTCCATTAATTCTTTCCCATCGTAAGCCACTCAGTTTTACTCCATTCATATACAAACCGTCCTCATGTTCATTCTGTATAATTATTGTAATTGAATCGTGATACTCCCAGCCAAATGGCAGTGCCACGTGATAATAGGAAAGAAACTGATCAACAGATGGTAGAACCAACATTGAAGGTTCCGCATATTTCCCACCAATTTCCTCTCTTCTGATATATTGCACGACCTGGCATGGCTTGCTACACTTGATATACGACGCTAAATCATTTTGTAAAAATAATTCTGTGTACATCAGTGATGACAAAACCTTTGTCCAATATGGTCCTTGAACACTGGTATTATTTTCGTACGCAAAGATTCGGAAAATATTCCCCTCTGTTTTATCCATTGTTCCCACTGGTGTCAGAATGTATTCATATCCCCACAATGATACTGGTAATAAATTCGTTTCAACGAAATCCCGAAAAGAAAAAAATATACGAGGACCCTCCACGCCAGATATTACTGTTACTGGTTTCCTTGAATAAATTAATGTCCCAGATAAGTCACTTGCTCCGGACAGGTGCAGCGCGTCGAGTTTTTCAAGCTTTTGAGTGATGCAAGGTTTTGATGTTCGTCCATTATACCAGACACCTTTATAGTATATATTTGCATTCTTGTTTAGAAAAACAAAAATTCTATTATTGTCATGGGCTGATATCACAACGATATTTGCCCTAAAGCTGGAACTATATGGTTGATATGACGCCACAACATAAATTAAACCCAGAATTTTGGTTGGTAATGCCAAATTTCCGTCTGCAGCGTAGGTATTATGATAACCATCGTAGTTCAAAGACAGCACTGAAATATCTGCGGAAGATGAAATCTCAATACCTTTCTGAAGGGATGAGGATTTGTGTATTTGCAAAGTTATCGGTAGTTTATACTCAAAAATTCCTCCTTGATTAATGTGTACAGTATATTCCCACGGTTGACCACCCTGTTTGCTAAAGATTGTTACATTTGTTTCGTTAAGAGCTAGAATTGAAACACCAATATAGTCGTTTGGATGTCTCCTATAATGTGGCGTAAATCCAATAATGAAATGAGTGCCGTAGTTACTGCCTAAAGAAAATAAAAAAAAAATGGTATGAAAAAAAATTAACTGAACCAAATGATACGAAATGAAGAACGATAAGATTATTAAGTGGCCGGTCGTAAATTTTTTTGTACTGCCTCCGTATTTTTCGGTATTGCCGATTATACAATTTTTCACCCCATCTCAGTTCTCCATGCATGGATTCCCAACTCATTCCCGTCCATCTTACTTTACCCAATCGGTGAAAATCGGTGAAGTTTGAGATTTCATTTGATCGGACGAGAATGAGACGCAAACAAGCATGGAATAACAATAATTCCTTTATCGCATGATCATGTCCCTCAGTATGTAGATTATTACTCCGGCGTCAGCGACGGAGTTGAAAACTCGCCTCGGTTTTGTTTTGTTTTTATTTTTTTTTAAACTTTTCGTCGTCGCAAGTGCATGTGTTTTGGCGCGAAATATACAAGTATTTGAAAAGTGTATTGTCACCGCATTTATATACGTCACTGTTTTGTCTCCCAAGAGTTAAGGCGGATTTCCAGTCCTCGCAAGAAGCTCCTCGCAGCTCGCTGCGAGCACTCGCAGACGTTTTGCGAGTGTTTTGGCGCTCGCGGGAAATAGTTCAAAATTCTGAACTACATTTTACTCGCTGCGAGTGGTCATAATAATAAACCAATCATTAAACGGCTCGCAATCTCGTGACATCGATTTGTTTTCAAAATGGCGGCAAGATGGAGTGATGAAAAGATAGAAATTTTAATAGAAACTGTAAGAAAATATCCTTGTTTGTACGCAATAAAAAGCCGAAGCTACAGGGACAAAACCCAAAAAGAAAATGCGTGGAAGGCAGTTGAAAAGGAGGTTGATATGCCAGGTATTTTGATTTGAATTATCAAATTTTTTATTTTTAAAATATAAGACAAATATGAACTTTATAATTTATAGCAGCCGCACTTATTTTCGTTGTCACAATAGACGTCATTCACTGTACAAAATATTAAAAATGTCTGTTCTTACATTTATATATAAAATATTGAGCAACCCCAAAAATATATTCTGAGGTAATAATCAAAATAATATGAAAGATGGTTTGTATGATGATTTGTTAACCTTCTGCTCTTTTTCTCATTTTGATATGAGAAATAATACATCCCTGGGACACTAATTAAACATATTATTCATCAAGATTCACATCCACTAGGACACAATTTTATAGTCTGTGATTTCCCCAAGATGGGGATTATTTACAAAACACCCCCCCCCTGGCCCCCTTTTCTTTGGCTCAGCTTCATGCTGCTGTATTACTTATGTTTAGAGTTTGTTTTTATTTAGTTGAAGCATGTCAGGCAAAGTGGAAGGGATTAAGAGATACATTTTCTGAAAATGTAAGAAACCAGAACCTCCCCTCTGGTTCTGGGGCCAAAAAGATGGTAAGATGGAAATGGTTTGAAAGTATGCAGTTTGTACGCGAAACCATACTCCACAGGGCTACAACAACAAACATTGGTACCGATAATGATGAATTACAACCATCCAAGGAAACAATCCACCAGACAGTGATGATGAAGCAGAAATGGAGACACCACAAAAAATACAACAGAATGTAGATACAAAAGAACCAAGCCCAGTATTGAAGAAAAAATTCAAGGATTCACCAATCAAGAAAAAATCAGGAATTGACCGAAAAATCGATCTTGAAATATTAAGAATGCTTAAAAAGAATGAGCAAATGGAAAATGTAGCTGTTCAAAGCAAATCCGTTGATGATGAAAATGTTGCATATGCCAATTATATTGCAGCAACATTAAGTAAGTTTGATCCCCACCATAAATCAATGGCAAAAATAAAAATATCTCAAGCACTATTTGAAGTAGAATCTGAGATTAATTTAAATTTGCAACAAGGCTAAAAAATTGGCCAGTCTTCAGATTTTATGACATTTATACTGTTATATAAGTTAATAATTTGTTAATACTGACATTGAACATGTTAATTGTTCTAAGAACTCTTTCTACCAAACTTTATTCTGTTATGCCAGCTTGATATTAGGTTACATACATGTTCACTTGGTTTTAATTTTTTTGTCTAAAAAGCTATGCTTTATATTTATTAAATTTGTGTGTTTGTTTTAAAATGTAGTGTTGCTCATGGACATATTTTCATATTTTGCTCTGGGGTGGTGCAGAAAATTTTGAGGGGGGGGGTTGCAGAAAATTGAAATCTTTGAAACATTTATTTGTCTCCTGTGCTGGTCACATGATTTATCTGCCATGACACACTTCCTTCAGATGTCATGAAGTATTGAGTTAAATCATTTCGTACGGAGGAGGCATCTTTCCCATAAAAATTTGAACCCTGTCTGCCAATTGAACTCAAACCATTGTTATCTTCATCTGATTCTCTCCATGAACCTGGTACCATATGACCATTTCTTAAAAAATATTTAAATAGCCACATTAGTTCCTACCATCTGTATGGAGAAAACAGTGCACTGTTTTTTAAAAACTAGCAATGACTATGTCTTGGTCCTGATCTTGGAAGAAAGAGAACGTTCAATAAATGTAGGGGTGGGGAATTGGGGAATTGGGACAGATGTTTGGTGTTTACATTTCACAATGGGCATGTTTGGGCTTCTTGACACAATTAAATAACTCACATTAAAATTCATCATTATGATTCTATAGATCATATAGTCACACACCCAAATAATGGGTAGACACCAATTAACCAATTAATTAATTAAGGTGGCTGGCAAAAGTATACAAATTAGAAATATAGTATAAATTTCAACTGTTGTACCTGTCCTCGCTGTCCACATAACCCAGTGGTATGTATAATCTGCCACCTACTGGATACTGCTTTTCTGACATAATTAAAAAATTATGCAGAGCAACAACAGCCATTACAATCTTTTCCACCTTAGCTGGTTTGGCAATAATTTCCCTCCTCAATATTCTAAATCTTGAGGCTGCTATCCCAAAAGCATTTTCCACTACTCTCCGTGCTCTTGACAAGCGATAATTAAAAATTTGTTGGTTTTCTGGTAAGAATTTTCCCGGATACGGACGCATCATATTCTTCATCAAAGGAAATGCTTCATCACCAACAATTAAAAAAGGGGTGACAGTTGATGTGCCAGTTAGGGGCCGGGCCTCAGGAAAACCAAGTAAATTTGTTACCATTCCAACTCCGATTTCAGAACTTTGAAATATGCCTCCATCACTGTGACGTCCATTGTCGCCAATGTCCACCAAAGTGAAACAGTAGTCTGCACTAACAACAGCAAGGAGAACAATACTATGCCACTTTTTATAATTGAAGTACAAGCTTCCTGAACCTGGGGGTGCTTGTATTCTGATGTGTTTACCATCGATCGCACCACAACAATTGGGAAAGTTCCACAACCTCTCAAACTCATCTGCTATCCTAATCCAGTCGTTCGGTGAACTGGGTGCTTTAACATACTTCATTTGCAGAACCATCCAAATGGCCATGCATGTCTCTGAAATAATCCTATGCACACTGGTTAGACTTACTCTGTAGCTGAATGAGAGACTCCTGGGAGAATCTCCTGACGCCAAATAACGAAGGGTCAATGCTAACCTTTCATCTGCGCCAATGCTATCACGGTTTTTGCTGGATTTTTGAATTAGTGGCTTCACCAAACTGTGTAAATAATCAAATTGGTCTGGTAACATCCTAAAATAATTGAAGTAGCCTTCGTGATCTTCTTCTCGTAATTCCTTAACCAGGGTAAAAAATTCACTCAATTGTGTTCTCTTTTGGAAGATTGGTCTCACCCAAAACCGTTTTAGGTATTTTTCACGTCTTCGTCTTCGACTTCGCAGTAACAACAACAGAGTTAACTGAGTTTTGCTCAGCGCCATTTTGAACTTTGAACTCGCAAATCGCAAATGTCCTGCGAGTGGTGGAAACGGAATGACTTTCGCGCGAGTGCTCGCAGCGAGCTGCGAGGAGCTTCTTGCGAGGACTGGAAATCCGCCTTTAAGTGTGGTGCACAACTTTGGTTAATTTTCCGATGCGCGATTTCGCTCGCATGATATGGCAATTCCTCCAAGAGGAACAAATAACCGTTTTTGGATGCTATTCCATTAATTGCGGTAAGAATATAGTTAATACATATAGATTCTGGTCCTATTTTATGAATATCGCTGCTATTTCGCCATTCAACAAGATGTGGTCGTGTATGGGCGCCTTGACACGTCACAGTTTGCACAGGATTGAAGATTTAATATAACTACATAAGCGCGAATTCTAAAGTGAAAAACAAAGTGAATGTATCATGTGGTTTATTTACATTTTTGAACAATTGAACTTCTATACTTTTTAAAGTACGATGTGCTTCTGAATTTCGCAATCGAAAAACGTTTAGGTTTGCAAGGCATCTAAATGAGTATGAACTGTATTGTTTATGTTCAGAAACTTTATATTGAAGACTGGCAAGTGCGCGGCACGCCGGAGTTAACGCCAAAACAGGCGTCTTGTTTTTCTTAATTCCCGAAAGCGAACGTACGCGCTAACTTTCTTTAATTTTTGTTTCATTGACGGATTGAAAGCTATCTTTTACGTTATAATGTCATTTCTGCAGTTTATGTTTAGAAGATAAATGGAAATACTGCATTATTGTAATTGTAATTCAAATTTAAACAAAGATTAGGAGGACGAAATGTAGACGAAATATGCAACTCCATGCATGCAGACTCGTAGCTTTACCCAATAGCCGGTTTGTTTAAATTTCTTTGCAATGTTTATTTCGCTCATAAAATGGTATTTATGTTAGCCACATTATAAAACAGTTGCATGCACTCGCTCTCGTCGTTTTTGAAACCAAACATGGCGAACTTTCTCTAGTGTCTCTTTATAACAATTGAATTTTTTTTTGTGAAATTTTAGTTAAACATGAATGTTTTCCACTGTGATTGTTATAAAAACGAGTTAAAAGGTTTTTATATTTATTACGAAAATCGGTAACGGTTCGAAGCAATCAAACCGGTATAACCTTTAGAAAAGTGCTAACGCTTTTTCGTGCGTGATACTAATTTAAACAAAATCTTTTTCAAAATTTCCCTTTTACTAATTTTGGGAAGCTCTTTCCAGCTCTGCTGGTAGATATCCTCATTTTTAAGATTTAGCTTTTCGTCCCAGTTTATATTACCTACACGGGAGACTCAGTTTAACGACGTTTTTTCAATCGATCCTCGAAAAGACTATAGACTCGCTAATGTTTGAGTTACATTCGGACAAAGTAATGTCAGCAGTTGATGTGATGGACGCTGTCCTTCAACTTCGATTGCCACTATCGATCCTCGAAAATGATCGAAGTTGGGTAATAATATAAAATTTATCTTTTACTAGTCTAGTTTACTTACTGTTTTTCCTAGAATTGTAAGATGGGACTGGTGATATGGCATTCACTAAAACAAAGACAATAGTTTTATCAATAACGACTCCTTTTAAACTCTGAGCGACATTGTAAAAATTCCCGATATGCCAAACCGAGATAAGTTCAAAGAGCGAAAATGAAAAAAAAAACATAGGAATATAATTATGTACGAGCGTAAGTAGCCCAGAAATCTGTTTGTGACTCAGTCTTGGACTACACGGTTTACGCGCGCCGGCAGTTTTATACTGACTTATGTAATGTATATTGATGAGGTTGATAACTTAATTTCCAAACCAACACGTACCTGCGGAGGATTATAGTAAAAAAACTTTGGAACTACAGAGCAAAGAACACAAAAAAACCACATAGAGGTAAATTAAGATACCTTTACTAAACTGCTAGCCATTTTTTTTGTAAACGACGCTGGAAGGGTCGAAAAATCGGCACATTTTTTTGCAAATTTGCTGAATTTTTTGCTGTGACTATGCGGGATGCAAGTTGCCTGCATGATAGCGGTTTTTAGTTTGAATCAAGAATGCATTATTTCATCGGCTTTTTAGAAGTTCGTAAATTGGTCGTAAACATTATAATCGAAGACTGAGTCACAGAAAGATTTCTGGGCTACTTACGGTACGAGAAATGATGAAAATGAAATATCTGTTTGCACGCGCTGCTGTATATCTTTTTATTCTATCCCTTTATCCAGAAGTGGATATTAAACCCCACGCATGTACATAAGGGATCGGTCATTAATTATGGCATGGGTGGGTCGCACTCTTAAAGTTGTTAGATCCAGTGAACTCAAATAAGACTAGGACGCTCACTTTGACGGAAGTTTTAAGGCAAGATGGCGGACAATGAAGCTTTTCTTGTAGATATGATCCAGGCCTCCGGCGCAGAAATTTCGTATTTAAAATAGTGGCAATTATGATTTTGCTTTGAAATTTCTGCGCCAGAGAACTGGATCATACCTACAAGAAACGCTTCATGATCCGCCATCTCGGCTTCACTCGTTCATGGAGGAAAATCAGAGAGTGAGCGTTCCAGTCTTACTGTATTTGAGTTCACTGGTTAGATCTTATTGAAGTTGCAATAATTAGTATAATCTGAATTAATTAGCATAATTTGAATTAATTTTTTCAAGGTAAAGGTTATTTCATTTACTATATTTATATACTTAGTGATTTCCTGCTTTATTTAGCTAAGCAAACAGCTGCTTAAGCTGCACAAACTTTATACACTCAATAGCGCAAAGACAGCTTTGTAGTGTGGTCAAATTGATTCGGAAGTATTTGGGTTAAACAACGATCAATGGCCAAATATAATGGTTATATTGGGTTGGCTACTGTACTGATAACATCAATACCCTTTAACATAATTATGTTGAATTTAGAAGAGAGAAAATGTGAAAATTACCATTTGATCTGTTATGTAAATCAGAACCACCAGCGTAGGCGTAAGAAGCATAGTTATTCCACCCAAACACAAGCAGACCAAACTTCACAGACGACGAAGCATGATACACTGTAACTGTACTTGGATCTGATAAACTTATTACAGTCCAAACATATTTTGTTCCATTGATTATTTCCCATCTTAAACCATTTAGTTTTACTCCATTCATATACAAACCGTCGACATCTTCATTTTGCATAATTACTGTTATTGAATCGTGATACTCCGAGCCAAATGGCAGTGCCACGTGATAATAAGAAAGAAACTGACTTACTGACGGTAGAACCATCATTGAAGGTTCCGCATATTTCCCAGCAATTTTCTCTCCTCTAATGTATTGCACGACCTGACATGGCTTGCTACACTTGATATATGACGCTAAACTCTTTTCTAATAGTAATTCCGTGTACGTCTGTGATGCCAAAACCTTTGTCCAATATGGTCCTTCAACACTGGTATTGCCTTCATACGCAAAGATTCGGAAAATATTTCCCTGTGTTTTATCCATTGTTCCCACTGGTGTCAGAATGTATTCATATCCCCACAATGATACAGGTAGTAAATTCGTTTCAAAGAAATCCCGCCATGCGAAAATACCAGCACGCTCCACGCCAGATATTACCGTTACTGGTTTGCTTGAAATAACGAGTGTTCCAGATAAGTCTGTTGTTCCAGAGAGGTGTAGCGCGTCAAGCTTTTCAAGGACTTGATTGATGCAAAGTTTTGATGTTCGTCCATTATACCAGAGTCCTCGATAGTATACAACTGCATTCTTGTTGGGAAGAACAAAAATTCTATTATTGTCATGTGCTGATATTACAGCGATATTTGCTCTATAGCTCGAGCTATATGGTCGATATGACGCCACAACATAAACTACACCCAAAATTTTGGTTGGTAATGCCAAATTTCCGTCCGCAGCGTAGTTGTCATAATAACGATCGTTGTTCAAACACAGCACTGAAATATCTGCAGAAGATGAAATGTCGATACCTTTCTGCAGATATGAGGATTTGTGCATTTGCAAAGCAATCGGTAGTTTATATTCAAAAATTCCTGCATGATTAATGTGCACAGTATATTTCCATGGTTGACTACCCTGATTGCTAAATATCGTTACATTTGTTTTGTTAAGAGCCAGAATTGAGACACCAATAAAGTCGTTAGAATCTCTCCTATAATGTGGCGTAAATCCGACAATGAAATGAGTGCCGTAGTTATTACCTGGAGAAAATAAAAACAACTGTGATGAAAAAAATTGAGATAAGAAATTGTAATCAGATGTAAGTTTTAAGTGTATGCCGTACGTTTTTTTGGTTGTGATACTGCGAGGCAATACAATTTTCGAAAGTAATAAAAATCATGCAGATATATATTATTTACTTGCTACGAGGACCGGATGCAAAAAACTGTGCACGAGGTCTCAAAAGCGCCCCTCCTTATAAGAATATTCTAGTCTGGAAAAAGAAAATGAAATGGCAATATTGTTACCATAGCAATAAATATTAGCAAATAAAAATGAACGTATGACAGGCGAAAAAAGCAATAATTCCCCCAAAAAAAGTTTTTTTATTTTTAACAGTCTCTCAGCCTTTTCCAGAAAGGTTTTCACACATCTTAGCCGTACGTTGCTTTTGTTTTGTCGTTTTTTTAAACATTTTTCACAGCGGGCCGAATGCATTTCACAGCAGGCCGGATATAAAATTCTGGTCCGCTCAGGAACGCTTCTCAGCGAATCAGATTGCTTCATTTACACAGTTAAACAATAAGGTCTTTTATAATATAACATTTATAGTACGCGCGTGCTGATTGGTCGAGAAGCGTGTTTCTATAACTGTATAGAAACACGGGAATTTTCCCGCCGAACTTGGCAAGCGAAGCGATGTAATGAGAATTTGTAATTGAATCGAATTATAATATTTGTACAAAATCTTTTTATCGAGTTATATTATAAAAGAAATAGAAAACGTTTTTCCTGTTTTTCTATACAGTTATAGAAACACTTGTAAGAGTTTGGGAGAACTCGAA